ACTCAGTCAACATTGAAATACCTCAAAAAAAAAAGTGTCGGGGCCTTCCGTGTACTCGTGAGCAGTCTTCACGGTTTGAAATAGAATGAAAGAAACTAATGAAATAGAATGAAAGAAATATATAACTAATGAAATAGAATGAAACAAGCATAAAGCATAAACTAATGAAATAGAATGAAAGAAACGAATGCATGAAACTGGAGAAGCGTTCTGCGGGATGCCGTGCACTCGAACATGGTACAATGTAATAAATCGAAAAACTCAAATATGTTAATTTCAACTCTTGGCAGTGATGGTAATAATTTCAAGAATGTGGGTTCATCCATTTATGAATTACTCATTTAACTGATGAAGGTGGGTAATCCCTATGCAGTTCAGAAATTTTTACCATCGCAGGACAGTTGAAAAAATAATTTTTTTAGCTTGGTAGGGATTCTACTTCATTTAGAACAGTTATCGGGTTATCCCCAGCTAATTCTGAAATGAATATAAGTACATACCCAGCTACTTGAAATTTTTGCAATCACCTCCGTAAGTTCGGACGTGAACTATAAGGTTGTATCTAAACATACAATTTTATTTTTATCTTTAGAGTCAACTTTTTCTACTCCGGTTAATTTTTTACCTATGGCAGATGAATTATTAAACCGGTGTTTAATTTATCTTAGTCGCAAGTAATTTGAGATCCACCGTCTTAACGTTACTACTGCTGTCAGTTGAGTTTAATAACTAGAAATATAGATATATTTATATTCGGCCATTTTTGCATGCAATTTGTCACCCGTGGTGTTGTGGGCCCATTTTTACATGCAATTTTTTTAACCGTGGTGTTATTTTGGCCGGGTGTGTTTTGGCGCGAGCATATTGATGACACCAGCGAGACTCATAACTCCGTCTCAGCGACACCCGCAGTCCGCGCTTTTACGCTGACCGACAGCTTTAAGTATCTCGTACTGTCGCCTGTGTTGGAGCGTCGTGTCCACGGAACTAATAGTTTCAACTTCTCGAACTTTCTTTAAATGTAGAACATACTTTAACTATGGAATTCATTATAAATATGGAAATTACTTAATATATTGAACTTACTTCAATTATAGAACTAACTTTAAATGTAGAACATGCATTAAATATGGAGTTTTTTGAAAATGTAAATTACTTAAAAATTAAGGACATATATTGAATGTCTTTATTAATTTCTATATGAAAATTAATTTAACTATTCTACTTACTTTGAACAAATAAATTGTTTAACCCAGAGAACTAATTTTAACCCTTCACGGGCAAGTTACCGTTACAGTCACTGGAAATATCCAAAAAGATCCATCACGGCCCCGGAGTGTGTTTGAGGCCACATTAAGGGGACCGACCTAGCTCCGGAGAAACTTCTACAGTTATTATCCGATCATCATGAAACTTCACATACATACGTAAAATGTAAAAATAAGAACATTTTGCTCCTATGAATTTTTCTACCCACCTCCCTTTGAGGAGCTGTCACAAAGTCATTTTTCGACGCACAGGGACGATACTTATATCGTTCGATGCGCAAGAAAACAACCTTTAAGATGAGATAAGAAACAGAAAAACTCAACATTTTCAAATTTTAGCTAGGTCGGTCCCCTTAAAACGCCCTTGCCTATCGCCATTCTCTGACCACCGTTCAATGCATATCATCTCTCACTATCACGGCCAAACAAAAATTTATAAACGAGTTTTTATATGCAAATTGTTGTCTGGAAGAAGTAATAGAGGCTCTTTCCACTTTTTTTAAAGACGGATATATCAATAATTTAATTAAATTATCTTTATTAAATTGAAGGTACTTAGTTCCCGTTTATATTTGAATGATTAGATTTAACTTTTACAAAAAAATTGAAAGTGTATTAACTACATTTAAGAAATTCTTTAACCGGGATCTGATCCCCCAATGTGCTAAATTTTGACAAAAATATATATTTTATAATTCGTTTTTCTTTCCAATACTGATTTTAGAAATTCCAATTTCTGAATGTTTCAATGCTTGCCCGCGAAAGGTATGAATAATGCACTGTTTTTCACTAAACTTAATGATGTACCAAAATGCGTGACTTATGCACTTGAAGATTTATTCAGTTGACTATAATATCTCGCTCGTTGTTTTGAAGTTATTAAATATTCCTTATACTGTTCACATTCCTAATATATCAGCCTGATTTACACCCATTCCAGCTTCACTAATAAAATAACGCGACTCAATCATAATTTCTCAAAACGCAGTAATGTTTGACTCAATGTTGTGATGTTGATATAACCTTCTTGAAAATGTATAACGAAATTTCTCCTTCCAACGTTCAAGTCGCCCATTTTCGAAAATGTGCAACGAAATTTCGCAACGTCGCCCGTTTTCACAGGTTCATCTTCTCGTTTTCTGCGGTAAATTTTTTCAATCTCGGCTGCTAATACCTCAAATTCTGTGGCATCGTGGCATGCTAAGCCTCAGGGTCTCTGCAGGCCTTGCCGTACACAAGCAAAATACAGTGTTTTACCAGGAACTCCAGACTCGGGGCCATACTTTCAAAATTCGCTAAGTGAGCGTAAGTACTTACGCTTTATTTTCTTGTCTGTGATTGGTGGATTTTGCTTGAAAGGCCGTCAATGATTGGCGGATGAACTTACGATCTTTTAACTTTTTTTAAAGTATAGGCCCGAGTCTCCGTGCCTGAATTTCTTAGTGAGACCGCCATGCTTTGCTATCGTAGTGTGCAAGGAAGGAAACCGCTCCACGTGGCGTTTATTCGATCATATTGTTGGGTTTTAATTAAACGTGAATCTGGAAATCTCGTTTCTTCATTAATCCGGCAACTAATTCAGTGCTCAGAATACGGTTTTATTGAAGTTCCTTGAGGAAAAAATGGAAGAGATCGTCGCCTAAAAGCTCTTCTCGTTTTAAATTGAACTCTTACGCGTGAAATACCGACGCGATACCAATTATTATTAGCGCATTTTCTCATTTATGGAAAAAATGCACTATTGTGCTCGCCATGTCCGTCCGTCCGTCTGTCTGTCTGTCCGTCCGTCTGTCCGTGACCTCAAATTTTCGTCGACGAGAAAATGCGCTCTCTTTCACTAACTGCAGTGAGTACTGAATTACATTTTTTTAAATAGCCATCCAATTACCTGATTAGCAAACCGCTGCCTTCTGTACAGTCTAGTGCTATTAATTCCAGCCTTCACGGTCAGTCGGTACTTTATTGTGATGTCAACCATGAGAACAGGTGCTATTCAGCATGATGGCAGCCGCTATTAAGCACGAGAAGAGGTGATATTCAGCATGGAAAAAGGTGTTATTCAGCCTGGGAAAAAATGCTATTCAGAATGAGAAGAAGTGCTGTACAGTATGGGAAGAAGTGTTATCCAGTATGGGAAGATATACTATTATATAAGCATGGGAAGAGGTGCTATTTGAGCATAGGATGATGAATGTTTAGTTGGGAAACGTGCGCGGGCAATCGGGCAAAAATGATTTAATTACCAAGCCGAGCTTTGAACAAGTGAACTCTGCAGCGCGCAGTTGCGACTTAAATTTAATATAACTAATTTTCCAAAGTGCATGACGACTTTAAAAAATAGCTAAATATAATATTTAAAATGCAATTAAGCGTCCATTACAGAAGCTGCGTGCGGATAAGTGACGCAAAAACTGTAATTCGATTACAATTTTATGACTTGAGATAGGCGGTCTCATAATCCTGATAGGCAGTCACGCGTAGTTCGTAAGATTGGCTTAGGCATCGAGATTTGCAAGCAAGTCCCTCCATATAAGCCACATAGTTAAGCCGGCTGGCTCTGCTGCAGGGCTTTAGTTGGTGCTCGTCGATTTCATTCCAGGATCTCGAGGCCAGGCTGAACTCGAAGACTGGGCGCCATTAGGGCGATACGCTGAAAACGATTTGCTTATCAGCTGCAATTTATTAGCGGTGCAATCTTACGGAAATTATCATCAATAACTATAAGCATTTTGTAGCAGTGTTACAATATTCCAATTACCGATTTCATGAAAATTTCAATGATGACATAAATATAGATACATTTGTTTTTGGTATTATCTTTGGTTTTTAATATCTGATTCAATTCTCAATTCTTCATAATTGTCCACTATGTTTCACAATTTCTTATTTTTATTACGAAATCATTTTCGGCATTTAATTCATAGAAAAGTTTTGTAAGTTATCTTGTATCGTCTTAAAGCTTGCAGACTGCCTGGTTCATAATCGTGTACTAACTATTGTTAAAAAGTCGAAGGTATTAATAGAAATTATGCACGTGATCGATTAATCAAAAGGCGTCAATTGACCTGAGCTGCTAAATTCCATCTAATTTCAGCAGCCCAATGACACAAAGGCGGCAGAAGCCACACGAAATTTTCATTAGTTTAAAAGTTCTCCGCTTACGTCAGTCTCCGCTCCCTCTGACTGAATTTAGGCGTGAGAAATCGTCGGGCGAAATAGAGTGTGTCAGTCTTAAATGGATTTGGTGTTGGCCAACTAAATCCATTGAGGCGCACAAACTTTTCTAGTGTAAGAATTTCAGATCAAAAATTTACTGAAGTTTTCGGCGGTTATTGCACCATCGACAACTCAAGTATTGCTAAAAATTTTCGGTAGAAATTTTAGGTCGTGAAAAGGTACCAGATATGTTTTCCTACTGGTTTCTTTATCCAAAAAAAATGAAAATTTATGTTAAACTTGTTGCAAAATTTCATTGACTGTTTTAAGACTTGAATTTCCATGATATTTAATAGTCAAAATTGTTTCGAAATGTACCCTTCCGAAAACCTACAGTCCTGATATTCAAAACTTGAACGTTAATGAAACACCAAGCGAACTCGGCAAAGAATAAAATATCAGTTACCGAAATGCACTTTATTAGCTAAACCATAAATTTTTCTTTCTTTCTTGATCTCGAATTTCTCATTATCGGGAAATATTTTATTGCTATTAAGGGTGTTTTCCTGTTCACAGGCAAAATAAAGTACCTCACGTTGACTGAGACCGACAAGATTTGGATGCCGGATTTGTTCTTCAAGAACGAAAAAACTGGGCATTTCCACGAGATCCTCCTGCCTAACACCTACATCAGGATTTTCCCCAACGGCGACGTGCTCTACAGTATCAGGTAATGCTACTTCACGGTGCTCTACAGTATCAGGTAATGCTACCTCACGGTGCTCTACAGTATCAGGTAATGCTACCTCACGGTGCTTCACGGTGCTCTACAGTATCAGGTAATGCTGCCTCACGGTGCTCTACAGTATCAGGTAATGCTACCTCACGGTGCTCTACAGTATCAGGTAATGCTACTTCTCTTCGACTTTTATTAGCTATGTTATTACGTGGCTATGGCTGTTACCTCGGCTATTGCTGCTTGAGGTGCTTTAATTTTTGACCGTAAAGTTATCTATTTATACCATCCGACAAAATTGCGACTGAATTCACTTTTTAGGCTGAACTCTTTGTGTGTATGTAATTTTTGGGGTCTCCAGCACTAGAAGTCAGACGGTGAGTTAATTGCTGGAGCTATCCTTGTGTTTCTTTCTCTAGCCTCCCTGATACTTCTTTTTTTTCCAATTACTTGGTTGACGAGGGGCTGTGAACTCCACTTTCACTGCGTATAGGCTTTTATTTCCTCTGATGTGCGCTTTATTTCACACGCCTGATGTTGCAAAAATAGTTTTGATTAGAAAACTGCCAGTGCTTTTCGAGACGCACTGTGCTCGCGCCGATGGAGCCGCGCTCATTCTGTTTCAGTCGCATATGATTAAATTGACCGGGTAATGAATTTGAACAATTGTGCTCGAAGTGCGCATGCTAGATGCATTTTTTGTCTGAGTAAAGCCGACAATATGCTGAAAGTTGTTTCAAATCTATGCTTAAGAGAACTTGAAGCCGCTCCTATAAACTAATTTTAACGCACTCATCCCCGCTGCAAGAATGAAAGAAAAACGAAAATAACGAAAGAAAGATTAATTAAAATATTCATCGTCCATTTTTACTGAGCAATTGATCTCTCTTGGAATCCAAGCATTGTCCTACCTCACAATACTACAAGGACTGGGGCGTAATTTTCTACGTAATTCTAATCAAATCTAATTATGATCTAAAATTAAATAGCACCGTATCATTCCGATCTAAATCAATTTATGATGTGAAGTGAAAAGACATCTGTTGCATTTGACGCGCGCGCTCGCCTTGACAGCTTAGCTAATTCCAAGAATTTGTTTTTCATGTTGTCCTCGTAAAATTTAATGTCCGCAGCATTTGTTCTTGATACAATAAACCAAAATTGGAGCAAAATTTTTTCAAAGAGGTCTTGGAGTGAGCATTTTCTGAGCACAGAGTTTATTGCATTGTACCCTTTGATGTCAAGGCATCAACAGCAATTAAGTTTACTTGAAAATTAGAGAAATTCATTAGGGGTATTATAAATTTATTATTATATTCGCACACAAATTCCATTCCAGGATATTTTGATATAATTGAACACAGTTGATTAGTGAATTGGTGATTTAACAATAGTGTTTATCGATAATGCCGAACGCTTGGTAAACAGTTCATGACCACTTTTACTCTTTTTATTGATTAAATTTACAGTTCGTATGCTTCCGATCGAGCAGTCGTCAGTATTTGAAAAGTCCATTCATATCAATTTTTTCTGATACAGTGATGCCTGTGCATCCGAAGTCGTTACGAGACTGGGTTAGTATGTGGAAACAATATTTTCCCAAAGAAATAATTTTAAGTGAAAAAAGGGTGTCGCACTATCTCCAAAGTCAATTTTTTGCCTTATTAATATGATTTAAAGACCATATAATCAGTAGCAAAGAACACATCCCGCATTATCTCGCATTTCATATCTAGGGTTTCACACTGCCTTGGACTGTTTTTTTCAGTAGCCTTTCTTAGAAGCCATGATCCAATACAATATTGGTATTTAATGTATACTGTATATGCACAATTAAATATAATATAGCACCAAATATTGAATAAAATAAAAACTACCGACTTATAATACAGGAGATGTTGCAGCGATCACACGCTCAAAGGAAGTGGCCGAATCATATGAGTAGAGGACAGATGCTGTGAACAATAGAAAAGGAGCTATGAAGCCAAACTGAAAGTCTGCTCGTAAGCATAGACATATTTGCATGCGGAGGCAAAAAATCTTGAATTTCAGAATAGTATCTGGAAAAGTTCGCATGTAGAAGCGTTCGTAAGTCGAGGTATCACTGAACGTTATCTGTAGGCAATCTTTTCGCGGTTACCACGTATATATATATCGGCGAGGGCACAGATCCCAATTGTTTCGGAGCAAAATCCCATGAATTTTAGTATTTCGCACAACGATCTTTCCAGTTTTGGTTTTGCGTGGAACTACGGATTCATTTTAACGCGCATGCAACGAGCTTGATGGAATCGTACTTCCCGGAATAAATTGCGAGGAATTGATGTTTCAAAAAGAATTTGGATGCATTTTAAATAAAATTACACCATTGTTTTGTGTTTCTCGATAGCACTGCGTTGGTTTTGACGCTTATTGCTATAAGTTTTTTCTCTAAAATCTAATATATAAATTTAGAAAAATAAGCCAAAGCATCAAAAAGTAATTTCTATGTAAAGAAAATTTCTTCAAGTAATTTCTATGTAAAAAGTAATTTCTTCAAAGTAATTTCTATGTAAAAAGTACTTTAGAAGCTTTATTTTTTATAGACTAAAAGTATAGGAACAATTTTTTTCAAATGAACAAACATTTTAGAAACACTTTTTCCAAGAAAATAAGCAATTTTTTCGAATTAAGCAGTACTTTTTCCAAAGGAAGCCAAAGGATTTGTTAAACTTACCGGTAACTCAACATCATTGCTGTTTTATTCCTTGTGGCATTTGCCGTCATTATGAAACGTACAACCTTTACGCTCTGCATTTTGGCTTCGCTACTATGAATACATTCCCCCATTCAAATTTTATGATTATGCCCCTACGGATGCCACAGAGCAGGGGAGCCGCTGAGAATTCGCATGTGGCAGTTTTTTTATGACACCATAATTGAATCAGACCTTCCAACGCATGTGCATTAAATCTCGGCTCGATTTGGTCTCATTAAAGCCTCGTTTTAGGACGGACGTTGATGTGCGTAATGAGGTTACGTGGCGCCTAACGCCTGTTATCATAATGAGCGTCACGGCTCGAACATCCTGCAGACTAAAATTTTACTTGACTTTGGTGTAAGGTTTCAAATTTGAGGCACATTTCCTTTAGAAGGATGCATATTCTTCATTGAAATTGGTTTTCAAACTATAAGTGTTTTCCTTTTTTTAATTTAATTTTTGCTCTATAGCTCCAGTTCTCTTGCAGCGATTTTTCATCGCCGTTTAACGTTTTTATTTTCTGTAACCAAATTTTTGATTGGAGTTTTTTTCCTTTAAGTTTTCTAATTGAATTGTAAGTTGCCCTGAGTATGTGTACAATTAATTATAATTGATAATAAAAATCAATCAATCAATGAATCAATCCTCTGTTCGCTTCAACTTCAATTCCGTTGCACGGTTTCTCTGCATTGCATTCGCCAGTTTTCGGATTTCAGGATTACCTTTTTGCGTTCGAAAACTTTATTTATTTAACCTGTGCCTCAAGCTTCGCTCGTTGAATTAAATTAATAAACGACCAACCGTGATTATTGAAGAAAATAATTTGGGGGAATTGTATGCCATCTTACTGGAAAATGAAAATTGGAGACAATTTTTAAATAGTTCATAATTCCAAGAAGTTCTTTGATTAAGTTGGCTCGATGTACCGTTCAAAATTTCCTTGACATTCTATTCATATAGTCAGGCCATTTGAATTTTGAATAATGTAATGGCATTTATAAAATTGAATGGTTTTACTTACGTTATAATTGATTAGAACCCTGAATACCAAGACTTTGATCATTAGATCACGCTAGCAAACCACAACCAAATGCAATGTTTAGGTAGAACTGAACTATTTTGCCTTCGACATGGACTTCCTCCATCCCCTTCCTCCCTCCTCACTTGGACTTCCTCCTCGATCCCTCACTAGGAGCACGAGTTAACCCAAGCCACGAGGATGTTTTAGTATACGTACGTTATCCCTACCAGGTTAATGTTCATCAAAGGCCGCGAGTTATGGAATGAACAATAGGAGGCCGTTCATCAAAGGCCGCGAGTTATGGAGTGAACAATAGGAGGCCGTTCATCAAAGGCCGCGAGTTATGGAGTGAACAATAATAGGAGGCCGTTCATCAAAAGTCGCGAGTTATAGAGTGAACAATAGGAGGCCGTTCATCAAAAGCCCCGATAGAGTGAACAATGGGACGTTTTTTTTATTCGTAAGCATCTATCATGCATGTGACAGTCTTTGCCGGTGGCTGACTTATCGCTCAATTTAGTTGCAACGAGTCTCACTAACTAACATAGCGCGGTTGTACATTTTGAGACCAAAATATATAATTAATTATATTTGCTCATAGTTGCTAAATATTCTTAATTATGTAAAATTTGCCATAAATAAGCGGTCTTAAGGGCACAAACATTCTTAATTTTACCAAATTTGCCAAAGATAAGCTGTTGAGAGGGCAAACAAAGTGGCAAGTTAGGGCGATCTCGGATGGCCGCCGCTGCAGAGAAGAGCGATGAAGCTGCCGCGGTCAGTACAGGAAGTCGGCTTAAAGGTGAAGTCAGGAAGCATGCAATTGATGATCAATCTTCCTTAACGTGCATTTGAGATCAATATTCCTTAACGTCGTTTGACGATCAGTCTTCCTTAATGCTTTTTTGCGATCAATCTTCATTGAGCTGCATTTGATTATGCACGTTGCTGCTCCTCCAGTAACTCGCTCGAAGAGCAGCAACGTGATCAATAATGCGGGCAGTAACTCGAGCAGCAGCAGCAGCAGTAACGTGATCAGTAATGCGGGCAGTAACTCGAGCAGCAGCAGCAGCAGTAACGTGATCAGTAATGCTGGCAGTAACTCTAGCAACAGCAGCAACGTGATCAGTAATGCTGGCAGTAACCCGAGCACAGCTGGTGCTGGATGCGTCGCTGCAAGTTTCTAAAGCGGTCGCCATGCTGAACTTTGTGCTACAGAGCGCAGTCGGAACG